TCACAAGACAGGGATCCTCTGAGAGGCCAGGCAAGGTCAGCAGCTGTTTAATTTTCTTTGTATCCATGACAGCTACACCAAAAGCCCATGGGTACACTTTTGGGTCCTTGAAGTACCCTCTCCTGAGGTAGTGTATGCCAAGGATATGCAGGGGCCTCTGGGCCAGTCCCAATGAGGTGCTTTTTCCACTTGTACCCCGTTAAGTTCATCCCAGCCTCCGATACAGACAGCTGTTGGATCCCCCTGTCCCTCCAGAAATCCAGATGGGTTCCTCCCTGCCATACCATGATGGCATTAGGGTACCATGTGCACTGGTGTCCACCAAAGCTTTATACTTCTGTGGATCCAATGTGCCAGGCCAAGAAAATTATACAGTCCAGAAAACCCAGTCGTCCCTTTCCTCCTCCTGGCCAAAGATGGGGATCATCTATTCCCAGTCAGAGACCCCTGAAGTGTCAGATCAGAAGTCCCTTCACCAGAGTCAAAGGAGGTGCTCTCAGTCCTCTTCAATAAGTGGGGGGTCACTGGTTGCCTTCTACCATCTCAACAGCACCTTATCTATCAGCTATCTTGGATGGCCCCTTCTTAGCAGCTGTCTTCCCCCTCAATTTGTGTACGCAGGCTCCTACCTTGGAGGTGGGCTCACCATTCTGCTTCTTCATGTCCTCCCCTTGTCATGCTTCCCATGTGAACCAGAGTGCCATGCAGTGTGCACCTAGGCTACCTTCCCCGCCGGCCAGAGGGGCTGGGTCTACAGGGCAGCCCTGACAATTAAGATGCTAGCCTGTGGGGACAAGCAAGGACACAGGTTTTCTTCAGAATGTCAGAGCCAGTGGGACACTTTCGCTGCAGCTGGTGTATCAAAGTCTGTCTAGTCCATCATCACCAGCTGGTTGGAATATGATGCCAATACACTTTTGGACCACTGTCCTCCACATGGCCTATGTACGCTGGACATCATCTGGATCTTTGGAGACCTGGTTGTCACCCAGGTCACTATAGAATACTTCAGCACTGCTAGTTCTCTCAGATATTGGATGCCTTTTTCAGTGGTAGAGGCAGCGATATGCTTGCCTGGCTGGTGGTTGTAATCTTTCTGCATATCTTGAAGTTCACCCAAGGTTAGGAACTGGGTAGTTTCCACCTCTTGGGTGATTTCTCTCACTTCATTCTCTTGCTTTCTTGCTGAAGGACCAGCTTCCTGATCAGACCCTCTTCCTCTTGTGCTAAGTGACGGTATGGACCCATTGACCCCTATATCCAGTGCTTCTTTTTGACTACTACGGTAATTACTGTAGTTGGAGTTTGGGTCCCTATCCTATACATAGTGTTCCCAGATGTGGTTTGGGTCCCTGTCTCAACCAAGGTCCTCTCATGGTGCTGAATGGGGACTTGAGAGGCACAGGGAAAGCCCCAATACAGTGCTAAGAGCTGCTGGGTTTCACTGGGGTACGCAAGGCACCCTACTGCCAAGCAGTGTGCTAATTCAATGGGATTACATGCCTGTCGAGTTGTAAGATCCCAGGCTATCAGAGGTGATAACCATCCCAGGCACCTGCTCAAATCCTCCCACACACCCTGCCATCCAGGAATAGATGGCCAAGAGGATGCTTCCTTGTCACCTCACCAGAACAAAACCTGGTTCCATGCAAATGATGAAAAGACAACATTCATCAAGCAGCTTAGATAAGGTTGTGTGAGGACCTCGAGAGCTCAAGCAGAGGAGGTGGCCACATCAATCCCAGAGGGGAAGAGGGAGGTGCAATCCCACACCTCTCTGCAGGACAGCCCTCCCAGCACAGGAACAGTACCCGTGCCAGGGCCAGGTACATGGCCATTGCTTTTATCAGAATGTTTCCAGGCACAGCTAAACACAGAGATAAGCGGTGCAGCAAAGAGCAGGAGCTGAAAGCAGCCGCTGACGAGCCCAAGGCTCTGTTATGTGGTAAATCAAGCAAGCTCTGTGACCCATGCAGAAGCCTGCCAATTAACAGCTACCACAGCTATAGTGTGCCCAGATTAAAACTGTTGTTATCTTGTGCCCCATGTTGGGTGGCGATAGAAAGGACTGGTGGATTGATCTTTGCAGGCTGCCAGATCCCCACCCAGACACTTTCTCACTCCCTCTCCTCAGCAGGACAGGGGGAGAAAATAATAAGAAAAAAAACCCTCATGGATTGAGGTAAAGACAGTTTAACAAGAAAAGCAAAAGCTGTGTGGGCAAGTAAGGCAACAAGAGGAATTAATTCACTACTTCCCATCTGGGGGCAGATGTCCAGCCACTCCCTGGGAAGCAGGACCTAGCATGTGTAACGGTGGCTTGGGAAGACAAACACCATAATCCACCTTTCCCTGAGTTTTTATCCCTCTTTTTTGTCTCCTGTTTGCTGTGTGGATTGGATCAAAGGGCTGGGAATTGTGATCTGCTGAGCCCCAGGCAGGGACCCCACAGTAAATGAATGTCTTGCTTCATGTGTGTGTGGGACAGGAGGGTTGTGTGTGCTCCTGTGCAGCCCAGTGAGTTTCTACTTGGGAAGGTATTTAGCACCAGAGAGCACCTGACCCATGTTGGGCCACAGGGAAGTGCTGATGGCCAGCGGAGTGGAGCATGGGTGAGACAACCTGCACCTGGGTTGGTTTGTTCAGTCATCCAGTTGCTCTTGAGGGACTCTCTTGGGGTTTAATTCCAAGCCTGGAGTTCATGTCATCCCCCGACAGACACTTCTGTTTGTGCCAGCTAACGAAGCAGGGGTATGTCATGGATCATATCCCAAGCTGCTGTGTGTAGGTCAGGCACTGCAAATGCTGTGGATCTGCATATGTCAGGATGTTTCCTGAGATGACTGCTCAGGAACTGTGTCTTGAAGGGTTTATATGCTTCTGAAAAGAGGCATATCTGCATCTTTTTATTGTCCCCAGCCCTGACTGGCGATAGCGGCCTGCAAAAGAGTCCAGACCCATGATCTGGAGGAAAACGGGTGTCAGGTGGCATGGGATGAGGCAGTATTTGACTCTTTAGGCCAAAGAGAATCTGAGGGATTGCTGGTGGATCCTGAGCATCAAGACAAAAGGAATGCATTCCTTCTGGAAATGTTGCTACAAGTCCATAGCATAGTGTGGAGCTGAATGTTTGCTGAGTGCTCCTTCCAGGTCTCCATGGGGAGAAAATGTTAGTGCTTTATGTAGGTGGCTACTCAGCAGGGACTGGGGTAGGAGCGGTGTCAGGGTCTGTGCCAGGAGCTCTGCTCTTGGGAAAGCAGCCAGAGGTGCTGGAGGAGATGAATCACCAGCTGCAGCTCTGGGACCGCAGACTAAATGAGTTTAATGCAGTGTGCAAACAGAACAAGGGTGCTTTCCTACCTGGGGGTTGGTAATGAGCCCACAACAATCTGTGTTTTTCGAGGCACAGCATGCATTTTTCAGGTGGCTGTTGAGTATTTTGTTTGGTTTCACACAGCCTACTCTACATGCAGTTTGCGTTTGTGTCTGTGTATTTGATTCCAGATGTGAAGCAGTAGCAAGAAGGGGGTGCTCTGTGATTTCCAGTGAGCTGTGAGCCTGGATTTCCATGTGGACAGCATCCCTGGACATATTTTCAAAGCAGCCAGAGCTTGAGATCTTCTGAAAATTTCCCCAGGTATTTTGGAGCCCTAGTGGGATATAAACTTCTTGGACGATCTGCTCTAGAGAATAAATTCTGGTTTTCAGCAGTTTGATTCTGCAACTTCCTTTTTTCTCCTGAAAAATTCAGGAAGATTTCCATGAGAACCACAAAACACAAAGCAGAAGCCCAGCATCCTGCCCGTCTGTGTGCTAAAGCATAAAGGCCACTCTCACAAAGTGTGCTGGGGCTGTTCTGCTCCATTTCTCCCACCTCCCGGCTAAGGAACCTCATGATGGCAGTGCAAAGCTAAAACACTAAATCTGGCTCCATAGCAAGGAGGTGACAAGGATTACTTATTGGGACATATGAAAAGAGGGTAGAATATAGGCAGGGAAATGTATTTTGCCTACAATCTCATGCAAAGGACAGGCTGAAACAGTTCTGCTGAACTTTTTGAAAGGGTTCAGCCCAGGGCTGAGATATGGCTTGGAAATACTCAGCAGCTGCAGTTAGAAAGTGCTGAAACCCAGGATCTTAGTGTGGACTGAGCAGGAGACATGGACATGTCAGCAGCATTGGACTAGAGGATCTTTAAAGGTCCCTTCCAACCCAAACCATTCTGTGATTTTAGTTTGGACTGTGTAGGGTGACCCCAAGTGTTGGCTCCTCTTATTATAAGTATGAGTAGATTTGCAAAAGGTCAATGTCTTTGGGGTTTATCTGAGGAGGAAAGTCTAGACAGGTGCCATTAGTGTAGGGTGTGCAATGTGCAATAGGTGACATCAGTTTCTTTCTACGTGTCTTTGTTACAGGATTGCCATGGCCTGTCCTCTAGTGCCTGCAGTGCCACCTCCCTCTGTCCCTTTTCTCCTCTCCCCTTGCACCCATACCCACATGCACTCTAGGGATGCTGCTGTGGCTCTGAGCAGGTAGTGGAACCTGCAGACCCCCAGGCGTCCTCTATGCCACCGTGGGTGCAGAGCCAAACAGCAGCAGTAGACATCAAGAGGAGCCCTGTGGGGAGGTGAAAGGCTTCTTATCAGGCCCACAGTGGTGTAAGGTTTCTTATCAAATGCAAAGTCAAAACTGTTTCCTTCCAGTTGACACGTCCAGGACTGCACTTCTCCTCAATGTTAAAAAAAACATGCAGTTGACGCTTTCTTCAGCAGCTTGGCACCCTGTGGCACCCAAGCCCCAGCTGTGCAGACCATGTGCAGACAGTGGCCACGTGCCAGCCCCCTTGCCCTGGGGAGCAGCAGCCCCTGTGAAGGCCCAGACTCACACCCAACCGCACTCCTTTTCTGTGTCTCCTCAGTCCAAGTCATGGTGATGCTCCATCTGTGCTCAGGGGTAGTGTCTAAAGCCTCATCTAAATCTCTTGGCCTTGTAGGACTTCCTCCGAAATATTCCCTCCAAACTCCTGTCAGCTGACCTCTATGAGGAGTGGATGCAAGCTCTGGAGAAGCCAAGCAAGCAGGAAAAAATTGAAGAGTTGAAAGAGTAAGTTTTGCAACCACGAAGTTTTGCAACCAGATGGTAGAGACCAGTGACATCTCACAAAACTGTCATTTATGTCAGCTTGCTATTTCTCCCTGGGGTTTGGTTTAGAGGGCTCTAGCAGCAGCACTTCCTGAGGGTATCTGAGATTGCCCCACAAAACCACTAACATAGAAAGAAGAGAGAGGCTGCAGTGCCTCAGCCAACGTAGTCACTCTGCTGTGGGACAGGCACTGACAGGAGCCTTCACATCTGCTGGTGGTGAAGTCGGGCACGTGGAGACCATGGCCGTGTTCTGTTCTCTGGAAAGAGCAGACGTGGAGGCTGACTGGGAGTGCTCTGAGAGCTGCACAGCACAGCCACAGGCTGTCATGTGCCTTTGAGAAGCCTCCAGTGACATCTCCTGGTGTCACCCCATCTACTCAAGAGTACAGACTGCTGTAATGTTTGCCTTGCAGTCAGGATCTTGTAATTCGAGATCTTACAATTAACCACACACTCAGCTGCTGTTGGGGATTTCTGAATGATACTTCTGAGAAGCAGTGAAAGAAGCACACACGTGCCTCTCCCTGGGGGAAGCGTCATCTGCCTGAGTTTACAGAACAGAATCTGTAAATACCTCCAGGGATGGGGACTCCACCACTGCCCTGGGCAACCCGTTCCAATGCCTGAGAACCCTTTCAGTAAAG